ACATACAGCACTGCGCAGCACATACACACCACATGTACACAATACCATTGTATACCCGTGTACACAGACAGACAGACAGACACACACACACACACACACACACAAATACCCTTTTGTGGGACTCTCTGATGGAATTTCTCCTGCAGGCATGGGTTACACTCACTAGAGGGTACGAGAGAACAAGGCTGCTAACCCCACTGGATGCCCAGGAAAGCTCCTACCACCTGCCCCATGGGCGGGCAGCCCCAGATCCCACTTTGGCCAGTAGACCCTTCCAGAAGCATTCGATACAAAACCCACCTTGTCGTACACTCCACCTCTGTGTGTGTGTGTGTGTGTGTGTGTGTGTGTGTGTGTGTGTGTGTGAGAGAGAGAGAGAGAGAGAGAGAGAGAGAGAGAGAGAGAGAGAAAGAGAAATTTTCCTGACTATCAAGAACACCTCCCCACCACCTCCTTAGGCCCCCCACTAGCTCATTAGAACACCCACTTCAGTCAGCCTCTAGCCACTTAGCAAGTGTCTTAGCCACTCAGTGCCTTCATGTCATCTTCTGTGAAACAGGAACAGTGCTAAGAGACACGAAAGCACTCCCCTGAGAGCCTAGAGACTCAGTAACTGCCTATCCTGCTGACCATGCCACTTTCACAGGTCATCCTGGAAGCCTGGGTGAAAGGCGTGAACCCCAAAGGCAACTCCACCAACCCCAGCAACTGGGACTTTGGGAGCAGTTTCTTCTTTGCAGGCACAGTGGTCACTACCATAGGTAAAGGGGGCAGGGGGGAGGGGTGGGCCCTGCTCGGCTTGGGAGCCCTTGCAAAAGCCACCACTGGGGCAAGGATGTGCTTTATCCAGGAGGGGGCACACGAGGCGCAGATCGGGAAGTGGGTTGGGGAGAGCCCTGAAAGTGGAAGGCAGCCAGGCTGGCTGCGCCTGTGGGTGGCTGGGTTCACTTCCCTGGGGCTCACTGAAAGGCTAAACAGAGCCTGTCCTCAGCAAAGGCGAGAGCGAGGGCTTGTCCTTCTATTGACTTCAGTCCTGCCCGGCAGAGAGCTGGTCCTGATGTGCTAACACCGTGCACCAAGCTGCAGACCAAGCTCACACCTGGGACTAGAAAGTCCTCTCAGGAGAGAGAGATAAAGGGACCGGAGGTGGGAAGGCGTTTGTGCACAAGGGTTGCTCTTCAGGGCTCAGTGTACCGAGGAGATGGGGTACCACAGAAAGACCACTCTATTCACCCCCAGTGAATCCCCAGGAGGCCCCTCTCACACAGGCCTCCCTTCCATTCAGTTAAACCCAAATCCAGTTCCACCCATCTTCCTCGGCAATCCAGGCGGAGTGACAGAGTAGGGGTTAGGGTACAGACCTGGATTTGTCCCGGGCTTGGCCTTCAGAGCTTCTCATCCATCAAAGAGGGAGTACATTGCTATAATCACACAAGGCAACTTAGGTAATGAGATAGACATGACATGAAACATCTCAGGGACTCACGCCTGCCAGGGAGGCAGAGGGTGGCAGTCGGGAGGGCTTTATGGAGGCAGCATCATCGGAGATGAGCCTTCTATAAGTAGAGATTGTTCTATCACAGAATAGGGTGAGTGTCCATGGGAACAGAGAGCTTCTCCTCCCCCAGAGATGACGGAGAGAAACCTCTGCTGGAGCTGCGGGGGGGGGGGGGGGGGGGGGGGAACAGGCGCGGGGGTGTGTGGCAGTTCTGGGCCCTCCCTTCCATGATCTGCACACTCTCTTGCCCTGCAGGCTATGGAAACCTGGCGCCCAGCACGGAGGCAGGGCAGGTCTTCTGTGTCTTCTATGCCCTGATGGGCATCCCACTCAACGTGGTTTTCCTCAACCACCTGGGCACAGGGCTGCGTGCCCACCTGACCACATTGGACAGGTGGGAGGACCATCCCAGGCATTCCCAGGTAAGGCAGAATCCTCCCTCCCCTCCAGGCTCTCTGGGACAGATAAAATTGGGAGATGGGCTCGGTCGGGTATACAGACATCTGAGAGTCAGTGTGGACAGCTGCAGGGCTAGGAGATGAGAGAGAATTAGAGAAGTGATGCGGACTGGACAGGGCATAGCCTCAAAGGGCTCTGCAATCACATGTGACTATGGAGTCTACCTGAGTCGGACCTTGAGTATGACTTCCCTGGGAGGATTGTGCCTGTGTCCCAGGCAGCTCTCTACAGCATCCTTCTCTGGTGGAGAATTTGAACATTACCTCTCCATGGTCATCACAGGCATCCAACATTCTTTCATGTAGTCCAAAACAGTCTCCGGGCTACCCAGCATGCTCCCACAGAGCTTACTGCCATAGACGGACTTGGGACAGTTCTGTGGATGACAGCAGTCTTATCCCAGATCTGAGTGCCCTAGGGAACCTGCTCAAGTGTGATTCTCAAGTTCAAAAGGAGCCTTTGGCTCCTTCCTTGACGCACTAACACATTCTCCTGCCCAGGAAAGCTTGGCACATACATGTCATATGCCCCTGGGTACAGCCCCACCCCAAAGTCTACAGCCAGCGAGGGAGTGGGTGGCTTAGATATTGCCCTGCCCACACCCAGCTTTTCCCAGACCTCCCCCATATGCTTCCAGAGCCTTCCAAGTGGTCTCCAGGGCAGACTCTCCTCTCCCAGCTCCTGCAGGTCTTGGGCCTGGCTCTGTTCCTGACCTTGGGGACCCTGGTCATTCTCATCTTCCCACCCATGTTCTTCAGCCACGTGGAGGGCTGGAGCTTCCGTGAGGGCTTCTACTTTGCCTTCATCACCCTCAGCACCATTGGCTTCGGGGACTACGTTGTCGGTGAGAATGGGAGAATCAGGTTATCTTGGTGGGCACCCACTAGGATGATGGGGAACAGGGAGGTACCAGCTGAGGCTGGTTACTTCTGGGGTCACTGTGGACTCTTGGTGGCATCCCCAGAAGTCTCTGGTATGATACCTATCACTGCCTCCTCCATCACTAGTCTTTGTCCGAGGACCAGGGAGAGAGCATTCCTGTGAAAGCTGGGGGTGGCAGAGCCCTCGGACATGAACCATCACCTTCCCTGGCAGGCACAGACCCCAGCAAGCATTACATCGCCGTGTACCGGAGCCTGGCAGCCATATGGATCCTGCTGGGGCTGGCGTGGCTAGCAGTGGTCCTCAGCCTGGGATCCCTGCTTCTGCACAGGTGCTCCCGACTCTGGCTCCTCATCAGAGGCCTGGACCTCAAGGATGGAGCAGCCCCCGACTCTGACCCCAGACCACAGAAAATCACCATCTCTGCATGAGACCCAAGGGTCCTGCCCTCCCCAAACCCATGACAGTCCCTGCCCTTCCTCTTCCTTCTCCACCCACTCACGACCCAGAGGACGTGGTCAGCAACTCTTCAGAGAGAGAAAAGGAGACAGTGTGCCCACAAAGTCCCTGGTGGGAGACAAAAACCAAGGCCTGTGTGGATGGCGATGTGCAGGCTGGCTTCGGAGCTCTTTCCCCCTGCCTCCCAAAAAGGACCCAGAAAAGTCAAACCCAACACAGATCATGGTGGCCAAATCACTACTGCCACCTTAACATACTGGCAGAAGCCCTCAGGCTGCAAGCGAAGGTGGATTTGATGTCTGTTTTATTTGCTACCTACATCCTAGGCTTTTCGCAAGCCCCTACTATGTCCCAGGCACTGTGCCTGGTTCTGGGGCTGAGACAGTGATGGTTTCTACCTTCACTGTGTCTTCAGTCTTGAAGGAGCCCCATGCAGCACGTGCAGCCTTGATGGGAACAAGCCAAGGGAGAAGGAAAGTTCAGGGCCATGGCTGAAGGAGGGGAGCTGGGCACACAGCTGAGGGCGCATTCAGGGCACACAGGAAGCGGTCCTCAGGAGTCTCACAGCTGAGGGACAGGAAGGCTGCCAGTTAGTTCTCCAGCTGTCCTTGCCCACGAGTGGAGAGGTATCCTAACAACGCTTGGGACCTCTTTCGGGTGTCCCACTGCTTTCCTGAACATGACTTCCCCTGACCCTTAGAGCACGCCTGGACCTCATCACTCCCCCTGAGACGCTGGAATGGCTCCCAGGAGCCTTATTGGATATGAGCTCCCTGGTGGCATGGTCTCCCATGGGCACACTCTTCATCCAAGTCTGGTCCTTCTGCCAGATTTCGACACTGTAGGCCAGAAGGGAGGGGAGGTTTGGCCCAGTCTGTCCCAACGCCCGATCTCACAGGATTAGGAATTAAACTGTTTCTTGGACTTCCTTCACCTCTTTAGTGGCAAAGGGCTTCCTAAGATCTGTGTCCTCTTGACAGCATTTAAGGGTGGAGGTGGTCGGGGGTGTAAGCCCAGAAGGTTGAGGGAAGTCCCAGGGAAGGATCCACATTGGCAGGGGGTTCCCAGCACCCACGTCTTAGAGCCACCCAGGCAAGAATTGAAATCCCAAGTCCTCCTATACCTCTGCACATGCTGGCCCCTGCCTCTGTTATGAGGGGATGGAGACACAAGGACCTCCTTCCAAAGCAGCAAGGGACAAGCCCTGTTCCTGTTCTCCAGCCTGCCACCCCTCCCCCAGCACACAGACGAACCACACCCAGCTGGGGTCCTTTTTATTTCTTTGAGTGCACTGGCTGTAGACCTAGGGTGATGCTAGCACTCTGAGAAGTCCCGGCCCTCAACTTGAGCAGGAGTCCTGTGACAATAAACTTGCTTCTATTTCTCCTCTGCACAGTGGATGGCAGGAGTCTCTCCTACTAGAGGGAACCGCTGGGGTGAGGGTGGGGAGTCCTGGGCCCTTCCCTCCCCTGCCTGTGGTTACCTCGCAGCCCCCTCCTTCCCTCTGATGTGGAGGTGGGGTGGGCGTGGGGTGGGCACTCCACACTCTTCTGGGAGTGGTCTTTTTTGCCCCAGGGATTGGATCCTGGAAGGTGGATAGGGCCATCCCATCCTCCAGCACTCCTTAGCAGGGAAACAGGAAGGCGGTTGCTTAGAGAAGGGGCCCCTCCTGCCCCTTCCTGCCCAGTCTGGATTCCTGTCCATGGCAGCTCTCCCGAGCTCTGACCTCTCCAGGGGCTCCAGTTTCTCCATCACCTGCCGATTGCGATCTCCCGCAGCGCCTCGGTGGGCTGGGGCCTTCGGGGTGCGGGGCACCAGGCTCCTGCTGCTTTGCTATCTGGCTTACCTGGTGCTGGCAACTGGTGTGTTCTGGGCGCTGGAGGGTCGCGCAGCCCGGAACCCCAGCCGCAGCTTCCAGGGCCACAAGTGGGAGCTGCTACACAACTACACGTGTGTGGATGGCCCGGCTCTAGACCTGCTGGTCCGGGTTAGGGGTCAGCCTGGGAAAGAAGGGATGGGACAGGGGTCGCGGGATAGGGATGAAGGATGCTCTGGCCCGGGGTAGTGAAGTGCTGGGGAGCTGTTACTCCATGGAGAGGTGGAGGGCATAGGCCTGGGAACAGCAGGGCTGTGCAGTTGGCGGGTGGGTGACCAGAGGGTTGGCCTGAACAGCAACGCAACGGAAAAGGCCTCCATTCTTAAGGAAATGAGCGGGCATGGCTAGCCTTGTAGGAACACAGCGGTCCTAAATTTGGAAATAAGGAATACAAAAGGTGTGCTTCCCTGGGTCACAAGATACAGGGCTGTCGGGATAGGGTCAGGTAGCATTTGATATTGTGACAGTCCTGTGTGGGACTTATTGGGACAGGGCTATGAATGAAAGACCACACCTAGCCTCTTCCAAAGGGTCGGGGAGGGGTGAATAGGAGCCTTTGGGGCGAGACTAGGGTCTAAGGAGGGACAGGACCCGTTGCACTTGAGAGGGCTCAGCCAATAGGGGTGGGTAAAATAGGGTCAAAGTGTGCTTGCCCCTACAGGGACAAAGGAGAGAGGGGCTGGGAATGAGCAGACTTGGGCTGGATCCAGGGTTGAGACCAGCTTGCCCGGGGAGGTCAGACAGGGCTAAAAAGGGTGGGTAGGGGAAGGTGCAGAGATCATGGGAGCCAGAGGCTCCTCAGCCGATGAGGATGCTGTAGGGTAGGGAGGCAGAAGGTGGTTCATCCTGACAGGGCTTCTCATGGAACTCTCTTCCATTTGTGGCCAAGGGGGCCAGCAGCTGAGCAAATTAGTGTTCACATTAAAATCCTGCTCCACATCCCTCTGCCAAGAGCGGAGGGACAGAACTTAGACCCACATGCCTGGGTGCAGAATCTTCATACTCCTGCAATGGTTCCTTTTCAGAGAGGGGCAGGACCTGCGCCCCAAGTCTCTTAGCTGAAGCCAGATACTGGAAAGGGAAGAGGAAATCACTGGGATCGGATGGGTGGAGATAGACTTCCAAACTTTTGAATGGGCCAGTTGGGCAGGATCTGGAGCTAGGCAGGGTGGGGACTGTATCTGCCCATAACCACCACCATCAGTAAATACATATGTTGTAGCCCTTCCTTGCCCAGCCCCCATCTCTTCCGGGGTCTCACTAGCAGATACTATCATCCCCATTTAGAAATGAGGCAAGGCTCAGAGAGGCTAAGTATGAATGCAAGGCTGCACAGCCAAGAGCTGAGGCCATTGGCCGCCCAGAGGCTGCTTCTAGGTACACCTATGTGTGTGGATCTTTCCCAGAATTCCCAGCCGTGCTGCACAGATTCAACCTTCACAGAGAGGATTAGCCAATGTTAATATTAATATTTACAGATAAGGAAACTGAGGCATGTAGACATTGATCAACTTCTACACAGCCTCCTTCACACCTGAAACAGCTTTGATGGTTCATGTCAGAGTTCATTCAGTTTTCCTCTGTCCCACTGAAGGCTGAGATCATGTCTCTGTCATCGTCCAGTGACGCCCACCTTCCTGCTTCCTGCAAGATTAGGACGGAACTGGATAGTAAATGAGTAGTTACATCTGGGAGATAGCCCAGAACCCAGCTCTAGGATCGGGGTGGAAGGGCTGTCATGACCCCTGCCTCTGGGGAGCCCCTGGTTGGTAGGAAGGGTAGAGACTCCTTGCCCTGTCCAGGCTTGGAGCAAAGAATGAGATATTGTGTGAGTTTCCTGGGGACACATGAACACAATTCTCTTCATCCTACTTAGGGCACCAAAGGAACAATCCGACCCATGTCTATCTGGACGAACCAGTGAGTGTGTCTGGTTTACTAACAGGAGCCTGGATGATCTAAAGGCAGCTGGATCACTGGAACTCCAATAGAGGTGATGTCGCAGAAGCTGCATCCCTGGAACTCACTACACAACCTGCAAACAGTCACACTGAAGAGTCCTCTCTCCTCACCAGATTGTTACTGTGTATATAACCTGGAGGAGGGGCCTTGCCAATCCTGTAACTTTCTGAGCCTTAGAGCCTTGTAAGCGAATGAACACACACACACACACACACACACACACACACACACACACACACACACACATCCAACAACAAAAACAAAAACCAAAACAAAACAAAACCAAAAACGAAGCAGGGACATGCAGCTCCTGGGAATGGGCTGAGGAAGGTTTATTGTGAATATGAGGGAGCACATAAGCAGAAGATTCTGGAAGTGTTCAGACTGAACATGGGCGGCAGAATGGGCTGGGCCATGTGGGGAGAGCAGGGAGGGGAGAGGGGAGAGCCAGAAGCCAAGGGGCCAGGAGAGCCGGAACTAAGAACATGGACCAAGAGACTGGTGTAGCCAAAATGGCTGGGTTATATAGGGAAGAGAAGCTGGGGAAAGGGGCCCAGTCCTGCCTCTGGGCTAAAGAGTTTAGGGTGGGGGGTGGGTGGGGTATGCCACTCAGGATGTCTCTGATACAGGTACTGTTGATGCTGAGAGGCTGGCTGGACAGCATCTACTTGAATATGTTACTAGCCATTGGTCCTGACTTTGAGACCTAACTGTAAATTCTCTATGAGCGTCTCTCCTCCTCCCTCTAGAAAGAAGGGTTTCACTTGGTAGAATTTGTCTATGCAATGTGAGGGCTGCCAGAGTGAGTGTAGGTGTGGGTATAGATGTGTGTATGTGGGTGCCTTGGGGTGCAGGGGTCCAGGCTCCCTCCCTAGATACGGTTGATCTCTTCAGCCTCTTCCTCAGGACGTCATCCAAGCATATAAAGATGAGACCAGCCTCCTGGGCAATAACACCAATAACTGGGGTGCTGGGAATTTGTGGGCTCTTTCTTCTTTTCTGTGTCCGCCATCACCACTATCAGTAATGGCTAGGTGAGGACAGTCAGGTGGAGCTGGGGAGGTGGCTCCTTCCTGACAGTCAATGGAGCCTCTCTGAGAGGCAGAGGAACTGGTGGTGGCATTTAAGGGGGCTAGTCCAGGGTGTCACCCCTGTAAAGCAGTCAGTTCTACAGATGACCCCCACCCTCCTACAAGCAGCACCTCCTACCTCAGGACCCATGGACGTGATTGCTGCATTTCACCAGGCACCAGGGGGACTGTACACATTTTAAAGTTGGGGGACTGCTGCCCTATGGGACTTTGGTCATTCCATCCAGCCCCTCCTACAATCCCTCTTAGCCCACCAACATCTTTCATTCCTGTTACCATTTTCCAGATCCATCTCCCCTCCCCTCGAGCCAGGCTGAGGTGGAATCCACCCCAAAAAGGGCCCCTGGGCCCTGTTGTTTGGAAACAGTATGGGCCAACAGACCTGGGTTCCTGCAGCCCTGAATCCCAGGGAACAATGCCAGTCAGTGGCCCCGGTGCCCTTGCTCTGGGTATCCCCTGCATGACCCAGGACTTACCACCAGGTGGCAGGCTCACATCAATGATGACTACAAGCTTCCAGCTTCCTTGCCTTGTCCTCCCGAGAGAGAGCAGGTGAATTGCACTGTGTATGCACAGCCCTCTGGGGAGTTTTAATTCAGCCACTGCTTCTAGGAGGGAGCTCTGAGGACTCCAGGGAGCATGGGCAACCTTTGAGACAGTGTATGCAGAAGGTCCCTTGGTTTCCATAGACCTCCCAGAGACCCTGGAAGGACTAACTGGCTAGCGTGGTGTTTCGTCTTTATTTATGTATTTACTTAATATGAATATATACAAGTGTGTGTGTTGTGCATGCGTGTGTGCATGTGTGTGCGTGTGTGTGTGTGTGTGTGTGTGTGTGTGTGTGTGTGTGTGTGTGTGTGTGTGTGTGCCTGCCAGAGGCTATTTTATTTTTCCTCCAGAACCATCTTCCTTGTTTGTTTTTTTTTGAGACACTGGGTGGGACCTAGGACTCACCAAATTGGCTGAACCAGCTGGCTGGAGAGCCCCAAGGCTTTTTTCTGTCTCTACATCCAGTACTGAGATACTGAGATTACAGTCACACGACACTACACTTTCCATATGGGTGCTGGGGGGTCAGCAAGCAGGTCTTTCTGCTTGTAAAGCAGCCACTTTACTGACTGAGACTATTTCTCTGTTTTGTCTTGTCTTGTTTGGTTTGACAGGGTCTCTATTATGTATCTCTAACTGTCCTGGAACTCACTCTGTAGACCACGCTGGCTTCGAACTCACAGAAATCCGCTTGCCTCTGCCTCCTGGGTACTGGAATTAAAGGTGTGTGCCACCATTCCCGGCTTAGAGACCCTGTTTTAAGGGAAACAAAACAAAGCAAAACAAGAGGGAGAGGATGGGAGCTGCAGAGAAAGAGGCCCCCTGGGGTGGTTCTCAGGAAAGATGCCAGCGTGGAGCAGTTTCCCATCATCCACCTGTCCATTCACACAGCCCTTGTACACATCGCCTGCTCAGGGTTCACATTCACATCGACAGTACGTCCCCACTGTGGCTTCATTGCATCTGTGCCAAATGGATGTCCGCACCCCATTTCAAGTCCAAGGAAATGGGCTCGAAAATATCAAGGACCTTGTCCAAAGTCCCACAGCCTTGCAGGAGGCAGGAGACAGGGGGCAGGGGGCAGGGGGTGGGGGCAGGGGGCGGGGGCAGGAAACGCAGCTGTGACAGAAGAGAGCACTTGATAGTTATCGGAATGCCTGCGGCGGCGGGGGGTGGGGTGGGGGGGGTGGGGGGGTGAGGGGTGGGCAGGAAGAGGGCTGCAGCGGCCGTGTGCAGAGCCTAAGGCTATGGCCACCTGAGCCTGCAGACCATGGCTGCCCGTCTCTCCGTCTCTTCCACAGATTCTTTGCTCTCCTTGGGATTCCGCTCAATCTCGTGGTGCTTAATGGGCTGGGCCACCTCATGTGGCAGTGTGTGTGTGTGTGTGTGTGTGTGTGTGTGTGTGTGTGTGTGTGTGTTGTGCACAGATGTGCCCCACCAACTTGGGTGCAGCTAGCAGGTAAGGGAGTGGCCGGGAACCAGGATGAGTCACTTCCAGAAGAGGGACTATGGTGGAAATGGTGTGCAGGACCAGTAGGGGTGGGATGGGGAAAATGGGGGGGGGTTGATAGGATTGGGGGAACAAAGTCTAGAATGGGGTCTTTGGTCGTTAAGATGTCCATCGTGGGAATGAGAAAGATGGCAGGCGTCAAAGCTACCACTGGCAGGAAATGTTGGGGAACACAAAGCTGGAAATGGGGGAGAGGAGCACCCCCTTCTCACTCCTCCAGCCAGAGCCACGGGCCAGTGCTGTGCTCTGCAGGACCCATTGTGGGCACGGCGGCAGCTGACAGGCTCAGGATGACAGGTGGGGACTCGGCTGCCTACACCTTCTAGGCTTGGGTATCCACCTCTTGTGTCTGGTTGTTATCCCACGTGGGTGGCTTAGTGAACTTGGGACACAGCTTGTAGCCTAAGCAGACTCTATGCTTTCCCAGTGTGTGTGTGTGTGTGTGTGTGTGTGTGTGTGTGTAAACAATAGCCAGGAAGGCCCCAAACAAGGTCCGTGGGCACTGTCACCTGGGGCCATGCAGGCACCCCAGAGGCAGCTGCCTTTGCAGGAAACGGTGGAGGCAAGTTCCAGCAGGTGGCAGTAGAGGGACCGTTCCTGTAGCGGTGACTGTGGCTGACCTTAGCCAGCCTAGCGTCTCTCTCCCTTGCTGGCCCTGAAGATCCCCTAAGAGTGAAGGTCACAGGTTCCTCCACCACCAGGCTGGCCTTGGGGATGCCACACCCTCCAGGAGACCTGTGCCCTGGAGTGAAGAGGAGGTCTGCCATGAGAATTTTCTCCTGAGGCTGGGGGTCGGGGGCAGGCGGGGAGCAAGGCTAGGCAACACCTATCCCTCTCTTTCTGAGGTTTCAAAGACAAAACAAAGTTCGATTTTTATCCAAACTCCCCCCCGGGGAACCGTGAGTTTACTAGGCTTACTTGCAGAGCGCAGGTGAGGGGTGACAGAGGGACCCCAAAGCATTGCACTGGAAGGTTTTCACCCATTGTGGGTGATGACTCCCCATGGCTACATAGCTGGAGCACTTCCCCCCCCCCCAGCTTTCCCGATCTATACACTATATACCATATGCCGTCTACTATATACCCTGGTGAGGGTCCAGTGAGTCTCCGCTCCCTCATCTCTATGACGGAGTGTCAGCAATCCACAGGCTCAGCTGGGATGAGCTTTTGCAAGTGGGTCCAGCTGATATAATGTTGGCAGTTTGACTTGGATGGTAGCTCTGTTCAACAGGGGCCTCCCATGATTCTTTGGTGGACAGTTGAGAAGAGGCTCTGCCACTCACTCAGCCTACAACCCAGAGTGAGTGTCGCTCCCGTTTTGACAATGAGGAAGCCAAAATTCAGAGAGATCAACCTGCCTGAGACCACACAGTAAATACAACTTCTAATCTGTTTGGTTCCACCATGTAAGTTGTTTCTGGAACCCTCTCTGGATCTCAGGATCCCAAACCACAAGGATCCAGCTTAGGACTTGCTGAGCGCTCACCACTGCCTTCTGGCCTCTGGGTTCAAGGTCCTCAGCCTTAGACTTCTCCTCCCATGAGGGGAGGGTTTCATATGGGGACCGGGCTGATATCTCAGCCTGGTCTTCCCCAACCTGTGGCTCCAGAAGAACTAACTGACTTGGACAGATTCTCCCAAACAGGTCAGGTGCTTCCCTCCACCCTCGTAGTAGGAGCATGTGTCTGAGGAGAGCTGCAGCCGGCAGAATGGAGGACCAGACTTGCCCCTCCTGGATCAGGAGACACTCCTTGTCTTAGTCAAAGTTCTGTTGCTGTGAAGAAACATCATGACCCTGGCAACTCTTATAAAGGAAAATATGTCATCGGGACTTGTTTACAGTTCAGAGTTTTAGTCCACTGTCATCATGGTGGAAGCATGGTGGCACATAGACAGACATGGTGCTGGAGAGGTAGCTGAGAGTTCTACATCCAGATTGGCAGGCAACAGGAAGAGAGAGAGAGACACTGGGCCTGGCTTGAGCATTTGAAACCTCAAAGCCCACCCCCAGTGACACAAGTTCCTCCAGCAAGGCCACACCTCTTAATAGTGCCACTTCCTATGGGGACCATTTTCATTCAAACCACTTTCCTGGAAGTTCCCTACTGCTATCTCCCCTGTCAGGCCAGGACTGTTGCATAAATCTGCGCAGGTGTGGCACTCCACAACCCTGAAAGTTCCCATCCACCATGTAATGAGGCTTAGCACCCAGGGAGTCATAAACCCTCTTTTCTTGTTCCCCTTGGCATTTAAGATCATATGTCATGCTTCACCACTTTGAAAACCTTCAGGATTTTCCCATAGTCTTAGGAAGGAACTCCGATTCTATGACTAAACCCAGGTGTGGTTCACCCCGGTCACCCCAGCATTTAAAAAGACAGAAGCAAGAAGATGGTGAGTTCAAAGACAGCCTGGTCTACATCATGAGATCCTGTCTCAAAAAAAAAACAAAAGAAAATTTCCCAACTAGGCAGCATTCTCTAGACACTGGCACTGTAGATAGAGGAAGAGAGGCATCAGTCAGCCTCCAGGGAGCGGCAGGGGCGTGGTGCCATCGCCTGTGACCGTAGGAGTGAAGGGGCCACCAGGGTCTCTCTGCCCAGGAAGCCACTGTGAGGAAGGCAGGACAGCCTCCTCAGCCTTTTGCACTGCAGCTCCCGCCCTGAGCCAGTCCAAAGTCCTGGATGCCGGAGGGGCTGCGGAGAGAGCAGCCTGGCTCTGTGGTCCTCTTCAGCTGTCCAGCGTCTCCACAGAGGACCCTACAGAGAGCCCAGGCTGCTTCACCTGCAAGGGCTCTTGCTCATGTATGTGGAGAAACTGAGGCCTGGAGTAGGGCAGGGAGTTGTCTAAGGCCCTCGCAGGCAAGTCAGGGCAAATCTAGGGTGGATTCCCAAACCATAAGTGTTCTGGAAATTTCTCCACCTCTTCCCCAAACCTCAGCTCTCATGATCCTTTAGGGATGAACCAGCCTCTTTCTTGGGTCAGAACGCTGATCACACACACACACACACACACACACACACACACACACACACACACACACACACACCTGGTCATGGGGTGTCATTGTTCCAGCCTGGAGCCGGTAGCCAGCGTCACCCTCGACCCCGGCCACCAGCTCCTCCCACGGCCGGCCCTCATCTGCAATTGCTTTAGCTGCTCCGTGGAGCGCCTTGCCAGCTGCCAACTCTCCTGCCAAAAAAAATGAAATCAAGGGGAGAAAGTGCCTCCCCGGCTTCTGCGGCCAGGAGCCGGAGCTGCTGCCTGGGTCCGGTGCTGGTTCCAGTGATCTCATTTGGTACCGCAGAGGAGTCAGCTAGCCACATAACCCTATCAGCTTAATCCAGGCTGCCAGCCAGGGACAGGGATACTGGCCAGGTCTGATGCAGGGCCAGGATGGAGGATGGGCCGAGACAGGAAAGGCTGTGTGGACCTAAGAGGCAGATCTCCACCCGACACAGGATCCCAGTTTGAAGAAGGAGCTGGGTCAGGCTCCAGGAAGTAGAGAGAGCGCACGGGACTATGTTATAGAGCAGGCCTATGACCCGAGTCAGCTAAGTCTCGGCGGCCCCTTCCACGTCTTTCTCAGGCCCATCATTGATCTGGTGTGTCGGGGCATCGTGGGTAAGCACTTGAAGAGCAGCTCCAGATCTTGGGAGTGTGCTGCGCCCAGTGGTTTTAGGATACGTGACCCTGGAGACAGTCACGGGAAAGGGTTCTTTTGTCACCGCTGAAGAAGTGGACACAGCAAAGACCCTCAGACTTCGAGAGTGCGGCCCGCTGTTCTCTGAGGAAGGATGTCTGGGCAGAGATGCAGGGATGAGGGAAAGGTTGCAAGCCAAGAGCAGCTGGAAATGGAGCGCTGCAGGAGCTGGGGAAACAGTGGGTGTCAGCACCCTGAGGCAGAAAGAAGGATCCAGAAACAGAAACAGCGAAGGGGCGTGCTGGGGAAGCAATGGAGGGCTTGGAAGCCGGGACCTAAGGTGGTTTCTAAATCCAAGGGAGGAAACTGCCCTTCCTTGTCCCAGCTGCAGGGGCTGTCTGCATGGCGGTCACATGATGGCAGTCACAGCTTCAAGGGACAGAGGCAGGACACTTCTCTAGCAGCTCCGTGGTTCTTCCTAAACTCCCTGGCTCCCACTACCTGCTCCATTTCAGCCATAACAAAAACAGAACATGCAGAGTGGGGATGTAACTAAGTAGACAGAGTGTTCCCCTAGCATGCTTGAGGCCCTGGGTTCGAGCCCCAGCATCTTACAATTGGGTGTGATGGCACACACCTATAATCCTAGCACTTATGAAGTGGAGGCAAGGAGGATCAGAAGTTCAAGGTCATCCTTAGCTACATAACAAGTTCCAGGCTAGATTGAGCTAGTTGGGACCCTGTCTCAAAAATAATCAAACAGGGGCTGGAGAAATGGTTCAGTGGTTAAGATCACTTGCTGCTCTTGTAAAAGACCTAAGTTCAGCCCCTAGCACCCACATGGTGGCTCACAACTATCTGTAATTCCAGTTCCAGGGGATCTGACACCTCCTTGTGACCTCCAAAGGGCACCAGGCACACGCACGGTGTACAGACATACATGCAGGCAAAACACACATCTAAAAAAAAAAATTAAGAAAAAATTTGCTGGTTGGTGGTGGTGGCGCACGCCTTTAATCCCAGCGCTCAGGAGGCAGAGGCAGGTGGATTTCTGTGAGTTCAAGGCCAGCCTGGTCTAAAGAGTGGGTTCCAGGACAGGCAAAGCTACACAGAGAAACCCTGTCTCGAAAAACCAAATAAATAAATAAATAAATAAATAAATAAATAAATAAATAAATAAATCTTAATACATTTTTTAAAACCACTTCACTCAGAACTCTCCGTTTCTGTCTTACCCCCTCAGGTTACCCTCCTCTGACCTCACCTTTCCCCAGGAATGGGCAGTTCTTGAAAGTACCCTCTGTGGAACAAGAGTATCGTGTCCTTGTGGATCCTGTTTCGGATGGCCTGGCTGGCTCTGATCAGCAAACTGATCCTATTCCAGTTCGAGACCCCAAGGGACATGGGCACCTGCTCACACTGCTCACACTGGTCCAAGGGGAACGTCAAGGCCTGAAGCTGGAGGCCAGGACAAGAAGGGGAACATAGGGTCCCCATGGCCAGCAGCTGCTTCGAGGACTCTGAGGGAGTCACACAGCATCTGGGACCTTCTGCTCAGGTTACGGACTGTGACAAGGGCAACTAGTTGTATTCTACATTGCTGAGTCTTCCTTCTTGGAGCTCTGATTTTAAGCAATATTTCCCATCCTTCTTTCCAGCTAGGTTCATCTAGATGATTCAAGT